AAAAAGTTAAAAAGTGTCCCCCCCCCCCCCCCCCCCCCCCGCTTTAATTAAACAAACAGAAATGTGAAATTTGGTGAATGTAGTTTTCGGAATTTTGAGTTCAGAGAAAATGAGGGGAAAACATCGGGGCACAGCATCCTCGAGACCCTTTTTGGGGTGGGGGAATAGGTAGCCATAAATGTTCTTGCTGAAGGAAAACGATTCCTACAGTTGTGTATGGCCCCAGGATGGAGTAAATGTTTCAAGGGGAGCTTTCGGGAGGAAATTAAGAACCTCCATCGTTTCATGTTGTTAACATCAGGCTGGCAATGACGGTACACAACCGGGCAACTTGACGACACAATGAGAAATGCCTAAAACCCAAGGAAATTCGCCACATTGTAAGTGTAGGCGTCGAAAACGGATGTTGATTCATCTTCAGAAGAATCAATCATTTTCTTAAATCGTGGAGCACCGAAGACGCGATCATTGCGAGTTTGTGATATCGTTAAATATATTTTGTGCATAAAATATATATTACTCCCGGCATGAAACTGGACAGGCCCGTATATAGCCAGTGTGAGTTCTATAGACCTAATCTATTTTTTCGGACAGGCTTCAACCCGCCTACCTGCTTTCCCTGGTGCTCCTGTCAACGGTGCGTGAAAGGTACCTTGTAATCTCGATCTTCATTAATGTTATGGTCAATCCATGAGTGACCACTGAGAAAAGTCTTTTTCTGGAGGGGGGAAGAGTTACTTCAAGACTCAAAGATGGAGCCTATAGAAAAATATGGAGCACGTGTTCATCGGGGCAAAAATCAATCCGAAAACGCAGTAGGGTAAGGTCCAGACCCAATCCCAAGGAGAACTTTCACGTGAGGCATAGGTCTATCGTTCCTTACTGTTGGAAGAATCTCAGCTCTTGAAGAACGGGAGGATTAGGCCAACGATTAGTCTGGAGTTTCCCTATCACGACGAGGACCTGCTGCGTTAGGCCTATAATGGGCCCATCCCGAATGTGTGGAATCTTGTTAACAAGGACGTCTGTGGACAGACATCATCGATCATCCGCCAAAACTTGGGGTGCCTGTTTATCTCGGTCGTGTCCAGTGGTTCATCCATCTACCATAGGTTCATCGTCTACTTTCTCCACGTAGTCTGTCTCACGTCTGGCACAACATAACGAAAACACGACGTATGGTCCCGGGGGAAAATGGAAGAGTCGAAGATCGATGTGAAAGCTCCTAGCATAATTTATAAACAGGGTTGTCCAAAAAAAGTTTCCATTTAAAGGGAATGAGCAATGCACTTTCGGAATGTCAGAGCGCACTTCTACCGCAATATTCAAATACATAATTAAATTACACGCGTTAATGTTCATTTAAGCGAGAACGTAGTCATTAATATACTGATATTACATTTGAATTTGAAACTGCAATAAACAATATTTTCCCATTACAGTGGTAACCTTTCTTTTGGCCACCTGGTATCATCAAACAAGCGCGGTGAGGATGGCCATATCTGCGAGGGATCGGGAAGGGCATATGTTTTGCTTTACGAGACCGGTCATGATATTGTCTCGGCTTTGGGCTCTTGGCCTCTAGCGGGACACGTTGGGGGATAGGGGAATCAAAAACCTCAGACAGGTGACATCGATTTATTGGTAGAATAAAGGCAAGACAAGGAGAGATAGGACGAGCCGGCGTGGTCGGGAAGACGTAGGCGGAGCGGCGCCTCGGAAGAGGGTAGGTAAGAGAATGGACGTGGTCGTGGTAGACGACGAGGAAGACTTGTCGGCAGGAGGACATGGCCGGGAAGACTTGTCCAGGAGTTCGGCGTAGGGTACGGTGGCTTGCGGAAGGATGTCACCCTTACTCGTCGTCCGTCTCGGAGCTGTGGCGGCAGGTTGAACTTCCCTACCGCTATCGCGAGAGATTTATGATGGATTAAAATCCCGTATGACGGCGCGGAAGATGGGGCTGGACACAGGGACATGTCCGACATCACGAATGCAAGGATCACTCGGAAAAGTACAGTTAAGCTGAGGAACGTGTAAATTCGAGAGAGCAAGTTGCGCAAGATGTATAAGATTGACCTTGGCCTTCTTTATGTGTTAAGCTCTAGGAGTGGGAGGTGAGAGTTCAAAGCTACTCCAGATGTTCTAGATGACATTCTTTTTTTTCCTCACTCAATTAATATTTGGCTTGGACCCTAGATCGCTGCTTTGATACCTGACCTTATGCAAAGTTCTGTATTTACAGAGCCCTGTCATCCTAACATAAACATTGCAGGCACCAAATTAATGCTTATTCTAGTACCGAGGTACCAGACGCATGGGCACTCACTCTTATTCAAATTATGACACCTCTAAATAATCAACTATAGGGTGGTCAACTTGACCGGGGTCGGGGTCAAGCAATCCTAGCGCCACCTCTGGGCCGTTCAGTATAACAACACACTTGGGTGTTCGCGATAATATAGTTTTTGAGAATCCACTTAAGTTGGCTAATTCTGGAGGGGGAGAAGGGAAAAATTCAGAATGAAATTCACATTGCTTAAAAATGAGATCCATTTCACACGGAGAGGGGAAGGAGCTTCATTTTGCTGGAGCGATTCTGCGTTTTCTGTATTTAAAAAGTTCCGAGAATGCTCGGTTTCATTCCTTCAAATTCCCTCAGAGAGGAATGTGAGAGGGTGGATTCTTGAAACGGGAAGGAGCAGAAGAAGAAAAGGAATAAGAATTACCATTCATGAGTCTACTTGACAGAGAGATAGAGACAAATCCCATGTTGTAAAAGGAAGAACCTGAATGACAGAACCGATGCGATGCGGAGGTGATCCTTTAATTCCTCCTCCTCTCTCGTTTAGCATTTCGTCGCTACAATGCCAGTCTCCTAAGTGCATATCTTTCTTTGTGCAGGAGAGCTAGGCGAAATTCACAGAAAGCTTTATAATAAACAATTATCAGAGGCAAATCGGGGATACAATAGTCTGTGTGTGCGAGAGCAATAAAATACAGCAGATTGCGATTCTGGCATTGGAAATATCTCAGCCTGGCAAGTTTAGAGGTGTGCTCGATTAAAAAATCTAACATTTGCACATTGGTGACCCTGGAGCGACAAGGTGTAGGTTACATGCGGTTCGCTGTTAGCAGCGTTTCCAATGTGATTCCGGAGGATAAAAAAAGGCAAACTTGTGGCACTTTCAACCTGACCAATAACGTTTGACGTAATGAACTTCGATAACGTTTCTTCGACCCGAGGCATCGATTTTCCATCCACTCATGACACGTGGAGACTCCTACGCAAAAGCTCCTCCCCAAAACGCCTCAGTGGAGCAAATAAATTGCTAAATGGTTGGAATTGCAAAACTCTGATGAAAAATACGCCCACCATGTGAGGAACGTTTCCTCTGGTCTGGGACACGAAGATGCGTCTATCTTGCAAGGCTGACAGGATTCCGTCTCGTATCTCTACGACTGGGTGTCTAAAAAATCACTCCACTCTTTCCCACTTACGCGCCGTATCCGGAAATGATTAATGTATATTAGTGGGACGAATTAATAATCTAAGCCCTGCACCCGTCATATGACGAGTATAACAGAGCGCATTGAAATCGTCAGGGCTGCAAGCGTTGAAAAGGTCTCACCACGCCATCATCTTGCAGATGGACTGTCATTCCCAGATTCACTAGAATTCCTTCCGAATATCACCTTTCTTCTGATGAAACCAAATCGGGGTCACGATCGTTAATGCATCAGCACAACGTGATCATCGGTTCTTCACCGGAAAAATTGTTCCACCGTTGAAAAACAATCTTTTATCTGGGGCATACTGTATTGCCATATATATGCAAAAAAGATACGATCGCGTTTAACAAGTATTATGTCTGCATGAATTATCTCGGAATATTCGTTGCGGAGACAAACTCATCTTTGACAGGATCCAATAACACTTTTAAGAATTTTTCTGTAGAGGGAAGTGTGGGGGGAGGAGATGTTCCCCAGAAACGTCCTTAAATGCCTCAGGAATATGAAACCTCCGAGAATAACAGATTGATATTGGTTTAGTGCAATTGACTGAACTCAGGCACTCAACTTTTGATTTAAAAAAATGGACTATTTGGTTTTTGGGAACAGGCAGTTCGTAACAATGACTGACTTCTTCGAGGTCGCCAGAATGGTTACCATAATCACACAGGAGTTTATCGTCTTAAGGTGACAGTGGTCTCCGGCTTCGCGTCCGATTCCCTTCTCTGCCCTCCATCACGTCCACGTCTTCGAGGTCGGCTGATTCTGAGGTTAAAAAAAATATTAGGGTACTGTCTTCCACTTCAAGTACCGGCCTTTTGGATAATTATAACCTCGAATGAGATAAACGTAGATCATAAAAAGGCGACGCTAGAGCAAAAGTGCTGTACAGCATGTGAGAAGTGAACAACCGGCCCAGGGGGGGTAGGGACGGCGACATTTCTCCCAGCTATAATTTCGACAGAGAAGGATCATGATCATGCGATGATTAATCACAAATATATTATGGCAATATTTTGCCCAATGATTTATGTCATTCTGTCAAACAAGGTGCCGCAGATTGAACCCCGCTGTGATTTCGCGGCTTTCATCGAAGCTGTGAGATTCCTGTAGCGTTCTTATCAGCAAACGAACTCGTCTCCGATAGGATACTCTATGAGTACACAAGGCATGACGAGATAAGGAAGGCACACCGAGCACACCAAGATGGGAAGCTTGGGAGGACACCTGCTCCCGGGTGGGTTCTTCTTCGTATTTGCACTCTGGTGGACGTGGAACATACTGGTGAAATGGCATCGAAGCCGGAAATCCCCATCTTTACCCTTCGTCTCCTCCACCCACTTTCCCTTATACTGGAGAGGGCGAAGGATCGCTCTGGAACCCTGGCTCAAGATCATCCTCATCGTCATCGCCATCTCCGGTTCGTTTCCGAAGGCTCCACATGAGCACCCTATAAGATCCTCTCAAAAATGCCTCCATTTTTAGGCGAATGAGGCGTAATTTTTGGTCAGTTTTCAGAATGTTGAGTCAATTAGATTCGTAGATCGAGTCAGTTGGGTTTCTGCTAAATTTCAGCGATCGAACTCCATTGTCAAACAACTACTGCTGCATATCACGAGCCGTTACTTTCCAAAGGTCTTTCCAGAGTTGGATAATTAATTGCTCATGACAGAAAAGCAATTAAGTTAATTTTCCCTCCAAGAGTAAACATTTTGAAAATTTTATAATATAATACGTTGTACTTTTGTAACTTCATCATCGACGTTCATTTCATCCATTTTGTTGGCCATGTGAAGCCCAGCTCCGGACCATTTCAAATTCTGTCTTGTTTTTCATGAGCTGGCTTCTAAAAGGCCAGTTCATGAAAAATAAAAGACAGCACCTGCAGTCTAAAAGGCAGTACCTGCTGCTGGCCGCAGCAGCGTGACAGTTCCTGCACGAGTAAGGTGGTCCACATGAACGGAGTTATCACTTTCATCTTCAATCATAATGCCAACCAAATCGGTTTGTACAAACTAAAAAAAAACTCTAATCACGGAATTCAAGTAGAACATTAAGAGGAATAATCGCTGTTATTTCACGACCGTTAATTTTTAATTTCTTAGTTGTTGGATCAGATAAATTTAGAATGTGAAGATTTTTTTTTACTTAGGATGCTCTGTAGCTGAATGCAAGTCATAATTACCCAGAGTTAATATATTGCTCAATTTAATTGCTTATGTTATAAATCCAACTCTGACGCTAGTTTGAAGTGTTGGGAGAGGTATAGTGTGGTAGCCGTGTTTCTCTCTGCTCCCACACGAACCGTATTGCCAAAGCTTGGTGTCGAACTGAGCTCGTCCAACGTGTTATCAACGTTCAAATGTCACTACCCTGTATATCTGTGTGCAGCGGAGATCATCACGGGATTCGATGAGGAATGGAGATTTGCTCACTTGGGGAATGCGCAGCACGTGACCATGTTCTCGTTTTTCCTCTTCAATGCCTTTGTCGAGCTCCTAGTCGAGTTCGGACAACCTTTGCCGCCAAACCTGGATTATGCCACGGCCGTTCTCGCCTTCATCGGCGAAGGGGTGCTATTTTCCAGCCATCTTCATGGACGCAGCCCCATGGACGTCCAGGTAGGGATCAAATCCCAGAAAATGAAAAAAAGTCAAAGCGTGGGAGGCTGCATGAAAAAATTTGCTCTGAACAAGGTAAAAATCAATAATCACAGGAAGGATCAAAGCGATGAAAACAGAAGTGGAAAGAAATCGTCATGAAATGTTCCAACGCTTTCATAACTTGAGTGATGACGTACTTGCCTAAACATTTTTGGGTTGATCTATTCGTTCGGTCGCAGGTCCATACGTTGCTGGCGTTGGACATCTGGGCGTGCGCCTTGGTCGGTCTTTTGGAGATGATTGCAAGACGCAGCGCCCTGGCGGCCTTGACACGGGCCTATTTCGTCTTGATCCAAGGAACCTGGTTCTGTCAGGTCGGATTCATCCTCTATCCCCCCGTTGGTGAGAAATGGAATCTAGACGACCACGGTCAAATGATGATCGTCGCCATCCTCTACGCCTGGCATCACATCCTCGTCGCCGTCGGCATAATCATCCTCAACTCCTTCGTCGCCTATCGGTTCCGAATCGGCGCCAAAGCCCTTCGTCATTACGACAAGGTCCGTTCCTTCTCGATTCTATCCAAGCGCGTGAGTGGTATATCCATTGGATAGTGCCTGTTTATATATTTTGCCAGCACATGCCGTGTGTGTCAGTCATTAGCTGATTTTTATTATTCGCGATTCATGAGTCCTCTTTTTTTTGCAGACGGACCAGAATGGAAACCCGGGAGGATCAGAAGCGGAATGCATGTCCAGTTTGCTAAATACTGATTTCTCCAGCGAGGAACTCTCCCTAGAAAAAATATCTCACGCCTGACATTCAAACAAAGATTAGAATTTGGATTTGACACGAAATGTGTCTCATGCACAACATGATTTTGCTTTTGGTGATTGAGCAACGGTGACAAATTATTTATCTCGTGTGATATATATTTTAATAAGTCATAAATAGTTGAAGGCACGTTGATTTTTTAATTTTAAGAATCGGGGGACGGAGGATCCGTGAATGCGAAGGAAAATGAAAGGAAGTTGCCAGATCGGGATGATCCTCACTCATGAGGGATCTCGACCTTGCAGGGACAGGGAAGGCCTTCGATACCGCAGAGGTCAGAGGAGTCCTTCATGCACGTCTGAGCATTCGCAGTGCTCTCAGTTAGGTCATCCGACAGAAGAGAAAGGTCTTCTCGTCGACATTCGTCCTTGTTAGTAGGCTTTAGGAAGACGACGTCGGCGGATTCTGGCAACTTTAGGGCTATCTCCGGCATTGAATACAGGGTTCTCCGCTCTGTTAGAAATATAGCGAAATATTTGCTACTATAGTGAAAACGGGTAGGAGTATACTGGTAGATGAGCCGTGCACGTAGCACTGAAGCAATCCAGCGCTGGAAAGAGCAGGGGAAATGATAAGCTTTTGAAGGATCCTCACTTGAGAACAGAAACTTGGGTAATTCCCACTTCATCGGCTGTAATAGAACATTCACTGTCGTGAATCCCACGAAACGATCGATAGGTAATATTGTTGAAACAGATGAGGAACTGACGGTCCTAGGGATCTGAGCGGAAGGCTCTTCGCACGGATGCTGCCTGCATTCTGTGGAGTGGAAGCCGAGCGATGACCGGAAATTCTTTCGTTTCGAGATGCCATTAGACCGAGAGTCGGAGACGATGAGATGGAAGAAATGTCGCATTACCTGCAGGTACCGAGAGATCCACGGTGTACTGAGGCCAGATGCCCCCGATGACGTCAGGATCCAGACTCTCTTCGTCTATGACGTCTACAGGAGATGGAAAACCCTCTTCTCGTTCGTGACGTCGAGAAGAGATACAATTTTGATGAAAACTCTCATAGGACTCACGGAATGAGGGCAGATCGACTTCCCGAGTCGTGTCTGTCTCCTCTTCCTTCTGAATAAATGACAAACCCTTTCTTGATGGATTTTCCTCTCTGATCTACGAGTAGGAATGTGGAAAAGGAATGAGTTTGAAATTTACCTCGAGTCGAATGACGTGTTGGAGCTGCTGAAGGACGAAGCGACGCATCTGTCGGTATTCCTCCCTTTTCTCACCTGCATCGCACAACGTTCCACAAAATCCTCTCATCGCGCATTCAGAGACTTAGACGATCGTAGAGGTATTTGGTCTGACCGGCAGTGGCAGGTCTCTCGACGCCGGGTCCGAACGGCCAGGGCAAGCTCCAACCTTTCGACTGGCGACACAGGGTAAGTTTTTACGCGAACGCGAAGCGAGTCATCGATCGCGGAAATGCGAGTCCTTACCTCAGGTTGCTTCACGATACTCATCGGTTCTTCTAAAAATACGACAACGCTCGCGTTTAAAAACACGAAGCGGATCGTGATATGACGTCGAGGGCGTTCACTCACCATCGCGCACGGCTTCGGACTCCGAACGCTCTTTCGCATCCCTGTGCTTAGCTTGCCGTTCTTGCCACGGTCGTGCTTGCGCTTCTGGTTGCGCCCCTGGTTGCGGTCGCGGTCGGAACGTTGCATCGGGTACTCGATGACGTGCCAGAGAAGGCTGCGATCGTTCGCAGGATCGATACGGATATATCGTTGTGCTAAATTTTCACACGTTGGAGTCGATGGCGAACCTCACCTCTTGCAGTGATGGAGGTCGTTGGACGCCTGCACGAGAAGAGTGAATGATGCATGAAATCGAAGGCAGACGGAAATAGGAAATACTGGAGTTACCGAGAGGATGAAAGACATCACCTGATCCGGTCATCCATCGAAGTCGTGTTTCCAGAGTCTGTAGAAACGCACGAAGGCTAAAATAAAATAAATTCTAAGCATGCCGTGGAGAAAAGAGGAAAACGGTGAGACCTTTCCGACGGCGTCTTCTGCGGCCAGAGGGATGCAAAACGACTGCTCCGGCTGGATCCAAGACTCTTTTTCTTCGTGAAGCTGCGATCCTTCTGATGCCGATGTTTCGGTTTCGATAGCGGTCGTCGCGGAACCCAAGGAAGTCTCTGCTAGCTTTTATTGAGGAATTTCATTTGTTAAAATATTTCACTTCTATTGCCTCGGATCGAAACGATGGAAAGTGACTTCTTGAAAGGGTTAAGTGGTCTGCGGTCTGGTGGTCGGACGCGTTGCATGTTGGAGAGAATAGAGAGAATAGAAAGAGGTAGAGCCGAGAATATCTTCCCATACAGACGCGAGTTTATCATCGTACGGTATCTTATGACGATAATGACAGGATAGTACTCAAGAGCTCACCTGCACTCGGCAAATGCTATCCTCTATCAGCTTTCTCAGTCTCGTCTGGATGGGAAACGAGAGCATTTTTTCAGACATATCCAATAAGGATGGAATGTACCAAGGACGGTTTCAGACAGATTCAGCAAATTCAACACCTTGAATCGAGGGTATTTTTAATGCATTAAAATGGTACATACCTCTTTTGTATGAGAGTAACAACTAATTATTATTAAGATCAGACATAGTGAAATCAATTATCAAATAACATGTGACTATACCCCTTGGTACTGCAAAAGGAAAATTTTCACACGCCAGGAGTTGAATTACCAACCAATCATCGATTCCTCTTGACTTCCTACATGAATGAATCTTGAACTGTGAAATCCTGAGTCTTGCTCATCACGAATATATGAGTAGGAAGGATGCCATATGAATATTGAATGCATTCACGTTGTAACGCATGTAGAGTAAAATGCGAAAAATTGAGGGGGGGGGGCAATGGGGGAGGAAGCAAGAATGCAGCCGTTTGACCAATTTCTCTTGTTTGTAGTAGGCCATCTTCCCATCGTATGGGAAGATGGCCTACTACATGATGGGCATCTCCCCATACGATGGGAAGATGGCCGTTCAAGGTTCCTGCTCTTTCAAACCCATTCCTCGAAAAACTATCAGATGCACTAATTGTTTTTTATTATTATTTATTTTTAAATATAAATCATCATCACCGGTCATTTTCTTTCCATTGCTGGATGAAAGCCCCATGCAAACGCCATTCCCTCTCGTTTTTGGTTGCTTCAGTCTATTAGACGCATTGAATACTTCTAATTTCATGACTCCTTATGTTCATTAGTCTTTTCGTTGGGAATATTCCTCCTCTATGTTTCCTTTCGGTAATAAATATACGATTGAAATAAGGTAGAACTATCAAAACGGAGCCAAAGTTGAATAAAGTCAAGGTGAGACTCGACCTCATCGCATTTTTCCTCATGAGCGGAGATTGCTCGACCCATACTCGGCTGCAATCCTGAATGCAAGAGTAACAGCAGCGAACGAATTTCATGAGAACCACAAATGAAAAATGAGATGGCAGGAGTGTGACTTGCCTTCACCGAGTTTTGCAGACCCAGCGCCGCCGTCAGACTGCGATCAAAGTTCATTTAGGCCTAACTGGTGCGAAGCAAAGTTGAAAGGATTCGTAAGCAGAACTGGGTAGACGTACCTGCTCACCAGCAGGTCCCGTGCTCCCTGGTTCTCCCTGTTCTTGCCCTTTTTCCTCGTGGAGTCCAGCCTGTATTCAAAATCCAGAAATGGCGTCAAGAACTATCGCAAGAACTTATTTCTAACTATCTGATGGCTCGAATTTCTTAACCTCTGGGACACCTGTTCCCATTGGTTCCAATGGATGTCCCATGCGAATACTTGTTTCACCTCTACCAGGTCCAGGAGCAATTGCTGCTCCTAGAACACCATCCGCTGAAACATGTCACGTTTGGATCAAGAAATTGTAATCTCCCAGGATTTTCTACTTATGACCGTGACAAGGCATGGCACCTGGTCTAGGTGTAATGATACCGATTTCACCATCATGAGCTACTCCCACGAGGCCATCTGGACATCCAAATCTGAGTTCACTGGGAGCTACACCTGAAGCAGATGTTATGGAACTACCATTTCCAGGTTCTTCAAACTCAATTACACCTAAGACTCCTGCCGAAGAAGCACCCGGACTACCAATGGTTTGCCCTCCGAGTCCTGGTCCACTTGGGACTTTCCCTGCAGAGGGGCCTCCGAAAACGTCATGTCCAGAACTTCCTGACATGCCTGGACCTGTGCCAGTATCTAGATCTCGTTTCTTGGATCGAATTATTGCTATTTTTTCGAGAACTTTGAAAAGAAAGCCCTTTCCAGACTCGCTTGATCGTCCTGGATATCCGGATCTAGCATCTCCCCCGTCAATTTCTCTGACGCCAAGGGATCTAACTGGAATGATACCTCCAGGTCCACTTCCTCCGCCGATTCCAGGCATTCCATCGGTTCGAGTGCTTTCTAGGCCAACCGCTTCACCAATACTTGGTGCGCCAACGCTGGGTACTGTGATGCTTCCTCGGTTACTTATGCCATCAGCATTAGGTGCACCAGAGTCAGGCTGTGCAACGTATCTTGGCCCATCGATGTCTTCCATGCTCAAAGGACGACTTGAAACACCAGAACCAGGCATTTCATACCTTCCAGGACTTCTAAGTACGCCTGTTTCACTTACATTACCTGCACAATAAAAACCAGCAACGCCAGTATTTCCTGAACCAGAGGTTTCATCACCAGGTCCGAGAAATTCACCTGGGGCAATAAAACCGGGTGTATTTCCGCTATTTGGGGCTTCAGAAGACCCTCCATGCGCCTTTGGTCTAAAACCAGGTATCTTGTGGAGGATTTTGACGATTCCCTCTTGGTGACCTGCATCGGGCTCTCCACTGGACCCTGGCGCACCAAGACCATCTGTGCTTGATTCACCACTTATACCTAAATTTCCAGGACCAACAGCTGTCACTGTGGCCCTTTCAGTTCCTGGATCATCTAGTCTACATGAAACCCATCCGATTCTTGGATCAACTGCTGAGCCTGCAGCCTGTTCAGACCCATGACGGGCATCTGTGCCGTTGACCAATCCAGTTTCTGAACCAGCCGTTCCTAGAGCATTTGACGGCCCTTCCTGTCCTCGTGATCCTATGACTGGGATCTTCTGGA